TCCGGGGAGGGGAGAGGGAGGGGAGAGAAGCAAGCTGTGTAGAATACCCTCACAGGTAAGTAGGAATCAACGTGGCCTACACACACCTACGAGGCCTGCTAGTCTCAAGAGAAGGCGGGACACCAGGTCCTTCCAGCTGTCCTGGGTGAGAGCTTAACCTGGGTGGCCTCCAGGTCCCCAACCACTGTCTCCACACGCGATGGTTCCACAGTCCTGATGCACAAGCGCTGACGTGCACAGAAAGTAGCAAAGGGAGCTTGCTGCAATTCACCTTCCTCTCCCAATACAAAGCAGCTGCCTGCATTTGCGGCCTGCCCTTAGACCTACCAAAAAGGCTGAAAGAATCCACAGAAGACGCCGGGTACCTGTGTTCTCAGGTGAATTTCTGGAGAGAGGCAAAACACAATGAAGAACAACGTGATGGGCCATGTCAACCATGGTCAACCGACAGGAGTGACAGCTTTGAAAACTGCAGTCTGCTAGGGTCGTGGTGGCACACGCCTATAATCCCAACCCTCTGGGAGGCCGGCCGAGGCAGGAGGACTACAAATTCAAGCCCAGCCTGGGACATTTATCAAGACTCTATCTCAAAAGGAAACAAAAGGCTGGGGATGTAGCTCAGTGCAAAGGCTCTAAAGAAGTCAGTGGAGAAGAAAAGGGACCAGACAGAAAGATCAGTCAGTTCCTACCAGGAGCCACTGCCACTTCTCTGTCCCAGCAGAGGGCATCATGGCTCCAGGCTTCTTACCTGGCTAAAGGCGAGCTTTCCCCAGGGCTGCAGGCTCTCCTGGGAAAGAAAGCACCAGGCCACGGCCCGGAAGTCACAGGAGGGATGCAGCAGACCGTGCAGTGATGGCTCCCACTGGGGGACCCCAATCAGAAGGCAGAGGCTGCGCTGGGATATTGCGTCCGGGAAGCCTATGCGTCCCTGCCCCACCTTGCACTCAGCCATGGGAATCCAATGGGCACCCACACTTCCTCCCTTCTTCCCTCAGCCGGGGCATTCATTTCATGCAGCTCCCAAGTCTCACCCTACCTTTCCGTGGGTATATGCAGTGCACTGGGTGTCCAGCTCCCAGGTCCTGCTTTGTCCTCCCCAGCCCCAAACCCTGCTGCCTTGCACTGTGGCCTTGCTCTTCCTTCCGAGCAATGCCATCTCATGACCGAAACCAACAAGTCAACAAACCTGCAGCTGCCTGTCCCGGCTCTGGGGCTCTGAGGTCCAACTGGGTGGAAACAGAAGGGAGGGATGTGCTGTAGTGGCAAATTAAGACATGAAAACAAACCTGCTAGTCTCGTGCTGCTGCCTTTGTGCTGCCGCCTTTGCCCCGAAGCCACTACAGCGTCTCTGGGGCAGCAGTGCTGTGTCTGCAAGTGTCCCTTGAACAGAAAAGCTTGGTCCTCTGCCTGAGGTGCAGGGTATGGGGTGCGGGGGACTGCTGGCTCTGTCCCAGGAAAGGCCAAGCCCGAGCTCTGCCTGTGCCCTCATGGCCCACAGCGCAGTGCGGGCTGCATAATTACCCAGCAGAGCAGTTCAGAGTGGAAAGCCTCAATTGCTCCTGAGCTAATTGAAGGCCAGGGGAGGAAATGTCAGCCCTGAAGCAACCAACACAGTGCACAACTGCATGATAAATCTGTTACTTATTTTTGAAATCTACTTGGCAGAAGCCGGTTTGGTAAATGAAAAACAAACCCCTGTCTTCCTTTTAACCTCTATGCACCAAGTCACCTCTCAGGGAAAACATCAAGAGGACAATTCTCAGCTTGCTTTGGCTCATCTTTTTCATATTAAATAAAGCAACTTCTCCTCAAGACCACTACCTCCTCTGTATGCAGTCTTGTGGCTGTACCACACTGGGATCTAGGATATATTCTCATTCTCCCTCTCCCTTCCCCGCCCATCCGTCCTGACAAAACAGAAGCCCAAGGCCAGTGCCAGCCCCTTGGTCCTCGACAGCAGCTCCTACAAATGAGGCAGAATGGGCTGGGAGGAGGCAGAGAAGAATGAAGCCCATCATCACACACACCCCGGCCGTGGGCCAGCTGAGGGCTCCTCTCGGCTCCAGCTTCCAGAGCTTCCCAGAACCTTCGAGGGTGCTCTGATTTGAGGTACAATAATCAAATTGCATCTCAGTTTTGCTACAAGGTTTAATGTACGATACTGGAAAACAACTCCATGCTACCAGATTGTCTCTGAGGTGTTTGTCTTCTTGATTCTAAATCCAGTGCAGAAAGATAAAGTCAGGCCCATTCCACTTATTGGCATGTACACTAAAAGCGTAAGTAAATATCTGCATACACACAGAATGTACCACCATGGAATCGTTATTCACCATCATCAAGGACTGGATGGTAGCACATGCCTGTAATCCCAGTGACTCAGGAGGCTGAAGCAGGAGGATTGTAAGTTCCAGGCTACCCTGGGCAACTGAGAAAGCCTTTGTCTCAAAATAAAATAAAAAGGGCTGGGGATCTAGCTCAGTGGTAGAGTGCTTACTTGGCACTGAATGTGGGCTAAGTACTAAGGATTTCGTGAGGCCCTAAATGCAATCCGTTAGTACAAAAAGAAGAAAAGAAAAAGAGTGACTCAAAAAAGGTTGAATTCCCTGACCAATCCATCTATCCGTACATCTATCTACCAATTCATCCCTCCATCCATCTGCCCATCCATCTATCCATCCAGAAACTCAACCATTCATTTGTCCACCCACCTATGCCTCCGTCCACCCACCTGAGGACTGGTCATCCACATGTTCATTCACCCACCTATTCATGGGCCGTACATCCATCCAACCGACCATTTAACACTTAGTTCCTCTGTGCAGGAACTGCGCTAGATACAAACTACTGAAAAACGCAGAAGTAAAATCCAGGTCTCCCAGGAGCTCCAAGAGCAAAGGAGAGAGGCAAATGCGTCCATGATGTGAGCGTAAGAGGTGCTGTCCTCCCCATGCCGACGCAGTGTGCTGGGCTTGCCGCTGTTCCCAGCACAGCCTCTTGTGAAGAGGGTAGAATGAGATCACTAATACAAATTGCCTGGTGTCCGTCATAGAAAAGTCAGGACACAGACATATCCAGAGGGACCGGAAAGCACATGAGGACACAGGGAGAAGTCAGCATGCAGAGGCCAAGGAGAGAGGCGTCAGGAGGCACAAACAGCCCGGCCTCCACCTTGAACACAGACCTCCAGCCTCCCGCGCTGCCGGTGTGCACCACGACGCCCGGGCCCCCACACCAGCAGGAGAACGCATCTGCAAGAGCGTGAGAGCAAGGTGCAGAATCTTGGAAAGCTGTCGGCACTGCTGGGGAAAGGCCTTTGAACGAGTTAGACGGGAACAGGGAAGGCGGAGGGTTCAGGGTGGGACACACTCTGGATGAGCAGATGCCACTGGGTCCACTTTCTCAGATTCAGCCTTATTGTAGCCCAGCTACCTCTGGTTTCCTTGTAACACAACCAGAGGGCTCAGCACCTTCTTCTCCGACCTCCATTAGGTGGACCATGTAACCTTTTTCTTCAGCATTGGAGATCAAGCTGGAGGGGCTCACGCACGCTGGGCAAGCAGGCTGCCACTGAGCTGCACCCTGGCCCCTTTTATTTTGAGACAGGCCTCCCTCGCTGTGACAGGCTGGTCTCCGAACCTGTGATCCTACCTCAGTCTCCTACACCCAGCCTAACTTTATAAAACAGTTATTAATTCTGTGCCATCCCTTCAGATGTAAATATCTGCATCATTCTTTCCCGAACTTGATTGAACCCTAAGAAAATGTTACCTCCGTCTGACTTGGATGAAAGCCAGCAAACAAAATAATTCTGATCTCAACATTCTCCTGTTATTCCAGTAGAATGCAACAAAAAGCACTTTGTATTATAATACATCAATCACCAGATCAGTAATCTATTCATCATACAGACATGTTTACTTTAAACTTGTGCACAACACCGAGCGCCTTTCATTCTTGGCATTAAAGACTTCTTGGCGAACAAAGAACAATCTTTTGCCCACATTTTCATTTCTATTAAGTCTCACACGTGGTTGTTGAAGCATATTCTTTCTTGCTGATCCTTCAGAAAATGAACCAGTCCCTGGGATAAGCTGAAAAGGACTTTTTAACAGTTGTATTCTAGAATTTCATTGGGACTTGCCACTCTTGAAATACAACAATTCTGAAAATTGCTGGGTTTGTACCTCAAACACAGAAAGCTTCTGGAACTAATTTCTTCACAGGCAATGCACAGCCTGTTGGGGGACACAGTCATGCTAAATAAAGTATATGGTTCCTCCTCTTGTCCTCTGGACCCTTTTAGTCTTGACAGTGCCCTTTACACACACACACACACACACACACACACACACACACACATACACACAGAGGCATGCCCATATTCATTCTACCTTTCACGGTGACATTCTATGTGCAGGGTAGAGGAGCTAACCACCAGCCCCGACACGTGCCCTCTGCACATTTACACACAGATGGCACCGGGTGGTGTGCACAGCCCACCTCGTGATCTGGGCTACCATGCACACTGCACAACCGGCCCCACAACTGCAGCGGCGCCTGGATGCCGGCTTGGCAAACAGACCACACAGCTGGCACTTGGCACATGACTTGCTGGGAGCCCACAGGGACAGAGCTGGAACTGTGCTTCACAGACACTGTGAAGTTCCGCTGGGGGATTATTCACCAGCCTTGCCTTTCCTCCCCATGGGCTTGTTGATCCACACAGCCTGTTGAGCAACTGCAGGGCTTTCTACACAGGCACACAGGGCACCGAACCTGTCACCTCAGTGTCACATAAATATCTCTACTTTCCGGTGAGGCTGGCAGCTTTCAGTTTCAAGCCAAATGAAAGAAAACCCAATTCCAGAAGGCTCTTGAAAGTAAACACCCAGCCTGGTTATTTCCGCAGTGGACCCTTGGGCTCCGCAGTCAGCACTGGACCTGGACACCCCACCAACCGCACCAGGTTCTCGAGGCAGCAGCGGAGAAGGCCTCACCTAGGACTCTGGTTCACACCCTTCCTTCCGTCCGTCCGTCCTCCACGCGTGGAAAGCAAGGTCACACCACACACTGTGCAGAGATGCATGCTTCTCCTGCCGGGTGGGAATGGCCAGGGAACACCCCGAATTTCACCTACCCCCCACCCTCACAGCTCCCGTGACACGTGCGACATTTCGGAATTACGGCAGGCCCACTGTGATACCCAGCCGCCACCACACTTCTCGCCTCTCTCTGGGGAGTCAACTGACTTTGCTTCTGCTTTAAAGTCTAAAATGAGCTTACTAAATAAGTCCCAATTAGGCAGGTTGGCCCTTCCCCCCAGGAGCGACAGTCCTGAGCCGCAACTCCAGATCTGAGACTGGGACCCAGCAGGGTGGCTGTGGGTGAGGTACTCCAGCATCCCTCCCTTTGGGACAAACTCAAGCATGTTAGACTGGACTCTCGGTCCTGTCCCCAGAAAGCGTCTCACTGCACAGAAAACACAGCGGGCACTTTAAGAACTGAAACTGCCATGGTGACGATTCTCTGGACAGGGCTGCCAGGCACAGGTCTCTGCTCTGAAGTCCAGGGGACGCCAATGCCTGCAATCACGGCCGGTTAGCAGCCACCTGGGGCTTGGCAAAACCGAGACATCTGGCTGTGGTAAGTCAGCATTCACCGTCCATGGAGAAGCCCACCCCCAAGACACCTTAGCAGCGACCCCAGATCCAACAGCCACCTACCTCGGAGTAGAACATGCCTCTTGGACACGGGCCGCAGAGAGAGGTGCTTCTCTGTCCCCACCAGGGTCCCCCGCCTGCCTCTGAGGTTCAACAGACGTCTCCTGCAAAGGACAGCAGCATGAGACACTAAGCCCTCAGGCCGCCTCCCTGAGACATCTGTTATTATGAAAGCCCTCAATCTGTGGGTTCGCCTGTGCACCCGTGCCTCGATGCCAGTGACGTGTCCCGCTGTGGTGGACGGAGACCCAGCCCTTTGGCTCCACAATGCCTCTCCTGGAGACACATGACCTAGGACCCCGCAGACACTTCCAGTCCAGGCAGGAATCAGCTCCTACATCCAGCTGCAAGGCCATGTGACACAACCAACCAGAAGAAATCAGAGCAAGGACAGCGGGTCACAAGCCACTGCGGGAGACCTCCTGCTCCAGGCCTTGTTGGAGGCTTGGATTCTGCACTCCAAGGCGAGCGAGCGCGGAATCCTCACGGGTCCCGTGGAACGGGCCACAGGCGGGGCACAGCAATGGCAGAGACAAGCTTGTACAGGGTCTGTGTGGGTTTGCAGCACGAGATGCCACTGGGCAAACAGACAGCTCTTTCCTTGCACCTGGCAGACATACTACCAGCCAGACAGGGTGGCACATGCCTGTAATCCCAGCACGCAGGAGGCTGAGGCAGGAGAATCACAAGTTCCAGCCCTACTTGTGGTATGTAGCAAGTTCAAGTCTTGCCTGGAGGACATAAGCAAGGCCCTGTCCCCAAAAAACCACCACCACTACCACCACCAAAAAGGGCATCTACTGGTTCTTTTATTAGAAACTGAATCTGTGACTGCAGAAGGGTTTTTTTTGGGTTTTTTTTGGTACCGGGGATCGAACTCGGGTCCTTGCGCCTGCATAGCAGGCAGCAAAACCACTGAGCTAAATCCCTGGCCCAAGCAGAGTTTTTTTTCATAGAAATATACAAATGCAGATGAAAGACAGAGAAAAGGCAGTGAGAAGGACAGGGAAAGGGAAGGAGGAGAAAAGGGAAGAGGGGATGTGAGAGAGAGAAAAACTACAGACTCTGAAGTACTATAAGAATATGTTCTTTCAGGCTGGTTTGTAGCTCAGCGGCACTGTGCCTGCCTGGCAAGCATAAGGTCCTGAGTTTGATTCCCAGTACCAGGATAAAAAAGAATATGTACTTTTTAGAAAGCTTTAACTGACACCATCAAAACTATCACCCTAAAATAGTGCAATAGTTTATCTTAAAAGATACTTTGTCCAGCACAATCCTGGAAAATACCTGCAAATTCAAAAAGAGTAACAAATACTATAGACATTAGCTGGCATCAATACTTGAAAAGTGGCTAGGCTGGGGTGTAGCTCAGTAGGAGAACACCTGCCTGGTTCTGTATTCCAGAGAGCAGGTGAGGGTGTGGTTGATGTGCCTGCAATCCCAGCTACTCGGGAGACTGAGGGAGGAGGACCACACATCTGGGGCCAGCCTGGGAAATTCAGTGGGACCCTGTCTCAAGACAAAACAAGCACAAGGCACGTCCTGTGTTCAGTCCTCAGAACCTCCAAAAAAGTGGTTACAGTACATTAAGCCTCGAAGCACCCACTTTTACTTCAGATGAGTTAGTCCCCACGTCCTTTGCTTGGCGTGAAGGTAAGAGCAAGCCAGTAACAGGGAAAAAGAGTAAATGGAGTAAGAGATTAAGACAGGGAGGCTGAGAAGGGAAGGTGTGGGTCTGCAGGAACCTGACACTTAAAATCGGCACGTAAGCAGATTCCGCCCGAGCACCTGACCCGCAAAGACCCCACGTGCTGCTGATGTAGGCACACAGAGAGCTGGGCTCCTGCAGCACCATCGGGGCCACCCTATTGTGTGTGTGTGCACCTGGCTCAGGGCAGCCCACGCCCTGGCTCATGGTTCGATGCTTACCTGCGTGTAGTGCTCCCTGGATGGCGACGACCGGGACCGTTCGTGAACACACCGCGGCCTCTGGTGTTGGTCCAGACCTGCATCCAGAATGTCATCGGCCGAGCGACACCGCCCAGAGCTCCTGGCTTTTTCCAAGGGCTTCCTCTGTTCCTTCCAAGAGGCTTGGTACTCGGCAAAGGTGCCAAGTCTCTGTGGTGGGTCCAACTTGCCCGGGTTTTCCGCTTTCCTGTAACCCGTGAGGATTTCTCCGAAGGAGGTTGCGCGAGTCCTCTTCTGGAAGCACGACTCCGTGCCTTCGCACGCGTGGCCCGCCGTCCTCGGCCACTCCGACTTCTCTCTCAGGGGCCCACACACAGCTTGTCTCTGGCCCAGCCTCTGGAGAGCAGGTTTGCTCGTTTCTTCAAAAAACTTCCACCTGTCAGCAAACGTGCCCATGGTGTCCTCGGGGCCCCTGGGGTGCTGGTGCGGACCGCAGTCCCCCGAGAGCCCCACCTCGTTCATTTTCTCCGGCTCAGAGTACGACTTCAGTTTCTGCTCCGCTGTGAACCTCTTCCGGCCTCCGACCCGCGGCACCTGGGGCGGGCCGCCTCCTGATGAGGCCGGCTGGGCCGGGCCCGCCTCCCAGAAGCGAGGCACGGAGTCTGGCTCCCCGGGGCCTGACGAGGCGGTGCTGTGCTCCCCGCTCCTGTGTTCTGGTGGCCCAGGATACTGGTCTGCCGGGGTGGGGTCCAAGTCACGGCGCTTGAAGGAAGTGGCCCTCAGGACTCGCCCCTGGGCCTCCTTCAGGTGGACTTTGTAGGTACTGGAGAAGGAGCCCTCTGAGGCGGCACCAGCCTGGGGCCGCCAGCTGCTGGCCTCACCCTCGCCTTCGCTGGCTGTGGCCAGCGTCACCGTGCTCTTGCTCTTCTGCAGCTTGGCCCTGCGGATCTGGATCTCATTCCTCAGCGTGGTAGCGAACCGGTCGCTTCGCCGTGCGGGTCGACCCACCTGCGCATCGAATGGCGGCAGCTTCTCCACACCGCCCACCTGGCCCTCCTGGGTCAGCGAGTGCAACATGGGCGTCCGCTGGCGGGAGATTCTGCCGCCCTCCGCATCTGTCCATCTGCAGCCACCAGCCAGGGTCCCCTGAGTGCCTTGCTCGACGTGGCTGGCCCTGCGCAGCTCGTGAAATCCCGAGGAGAAGCCGCCCTCCGCAGCTGCATTGGGCAGGGGACCTGGCTCCTCATGGCGGGCAAGGGGGCACCGCAGGCTCGGGCCCACCGCCTGGTGCGAGGGAGGGCAGTCAAAAGCCCTGGGGACTGCGCCCCAGTGCCAACACTCCCCAAGGAACGGGGGCTGCCTGGTGGCCACGCAGGAATAATAGCCCTGGCTGGCAGCCTTGGGCCACCTGGCCTGTGGGGGGCCACCATCCTGGCAGCGTGGCACAGGCAGCTCCTGCCACTCTGCGGAGGGGGCCACGTGCGGCCGCTCCCTCAGTGGCACGGGCTTCCGGGGGCCCTCGTCGCTGCCCTGGCACGGGTGCTGGGCCCCGTGGGGAGGCCGTGCGAGGCGCACATCAGTGCTGGGCAGGGAGGCCTGGGGCCTGCCCAGGGGGCCGCCCGCCCTCTCATCGCCACCCGGCCAGCCACAGTCAGGGTGGCCTCCTGCTTCCTTCCCGCTGCTCGGGCCCCCTGGCCTCCACTGCCAACTGGCCAGGTCCGGCCTCCACTCGCCTCGAGGCTGCACCCGGACTGGGGCTGGCAAGTGCTGCGTTGTGGCCGCCTCTAAGAATGGAGGGCCCTGCGTCTTCTCATGGCTCTGGGTGGCAGCAAAGCTGTCACTGCGCAGGGGAGGTGCAGGAGGGGGTGGGGATGGAGGGGCTTTTTTCTTGTCAGGGATATGCCAGACGGGCCCAAAACTGGACCGGCCGGAAGTGGCCGGTTTGGGCTCAGTCCCGTCCTCCGGCCTGGGGCTTTTCCTGTTGTCCCCGGGGGCCCTGGGTGGGAAGGCGGAGGGCCTCTCTTCCAGGCTCTGAGGCGAAGCCGCCCAGAGCCCCACTTTGTAGAGGATGTTCTCCGCGGAGGACGCCTCGGCCTTGGGCAGCAGGGTGTGGTCTGGGGTGCTTGAGCTGGTGGAAAACGAGCCATACGCCGAGTCTCGCTGGTTGGGGCCACCCAGGTGGTCGATGCTGCTGCTGGACTTGGCTGCCGAGAGGTGTCCAGAGGGGTAGGGCTGGGAGGGGTGGTCCAGGCTGTCAACGCTGCCCAGGGAGCTGAAGTGGTCCGAAGTGCGCTGTAGGTTTGTCGGCTCCCACGAGCCAGACAGGTCTTGGGAGGAAGAACTGCACAAAAGAGCAACAAGAAAAGTTTGCAAATGGCAAGATCAGTGGACAATAGCTGTGTGAACCCAGCCGGCCCTTCAGAGAGGGTCAGGATGCTGAGCAGTCGCCTCCCAGGATGAGATCCTAGGATCTGGGATTTTACCTTGCAGCTTCGGAATTGTGGGGAGGGAGGAGAGGGAGAGGGGCAGACTGAGGGGGTGGAGAGAGAGAGGGAGGGAGGGAAGGAGCGACAGAAAGGGAAGAAGGACGAGATGGGGGGGCGGGCGGAGCGGGCCAGACTTCTCCCCGACACGCGCACCCGATGCCAGCCGCAGGAGCAGGCCATGCCTGCACGAACTCTTCCATGGACCAGCAGTCATCACTGGCAGAAACTGGCGAGTGACAATTCTTGAGCTAAGGGTCTTTTTTCTACCTTATTACATGATCAGGGGAAAAGAAACCAAAGGAATAGTGTTTCCGTTTAACCTGCGAAAGTGGTACGAGACGCCAGTTTGAATTCACATGCAAAGGCTTCCTGGAACACAGTGGTGCCCATAGGCCCACACGCTGCCTACAGCTGCTGCTGGACAACAGCAGGTCTGCGGGACGGCGGCAGAGCCCGGCTGGCCTGCAGAGCTGAAAGTAGGTGCCCTCTAGGCCTGTACAGAACCAGTTTGCAGAACCCCTGCTGCAGAAGGGGCTGTGGGCAGTAATCAAACGAGAAGGCTTTTCCTGCTGCAGCCTGGGCAGTAACTCAGTGGCAGAGCACTGGCCTGGCATGCAGGAGGCTCTGAGTTTGCTCTCCGGCACTGACAAAAAAACAAAGAACAATTTAAAATTACAAGGAAAAAGCTGAAGGGGAACATTTCTTTTCCAAACCCAAACACTAGAGTGTGACTGGCTCCTCTCTAAATGCTTGGGTGCCTGACTGAGAAGAGAAATGGGCTTTCCCAGCAAAATCACGAGCGGCAGTGTCCGGGGAGCTGAGTAAACCCCGCAGGGTCACTGGGGCGAGACACGAACACGAGAAACCACACGTTCCCAGCCCGGATGGGGCCTGAGGTGCAGGAGAAATGGTTACCTGAGACACGGCTGTGTGATGCAGTAACCATGTATGCCACTGATAGCTCTGAACTATTTATCCAGGACGTTAAACGCTTTCCTTCAAGTTTCACAAACCTAGAAAATTCATGCTTGGACAAGCCAGGGAGGATAAACAGCAGTGGCTACACTAGGTTTGGGGAGGAGGAGGATGAGAAAATCTTTTTTTTGGTACTGGGGATCGAACTCAGGACCTTGCACTTGCGAGGCAGGCGGTGGAACCACTGAGCTAAATCCCCGTCCAAAAGGCCCATTTTCTACTGAAGTTTTACAACCCAGTTAAGAATCTGGAGTTTTTCCATGAGAAAAGGAAAAAAATGGAAACAAAGTCTTTGTAAATAGGGAAGGGTGGAGGGGGTGAAGGGAGGGCAGGGGAACGGGGAAGAAATAAGAACCAAGATGCATCACACGTACAGGTACAAGATCCCAATGATGAATGTAACTGTACTGTATACCTAAAATGTACCAATAAACTTCATCAAAAAAAAAAAAAAGAATCTGTAGTTTTTCCAAAAAATTCTCTGGGCTAAGTACAGTACCATCCCCTCTTGTGGCCCTGAACACTAATACTGCCTTTGAGCGGTATTTCTTTCACTTTAGTGTGCAGTTTTACAGCAGACTAGTATTTATTAAGAGACAGACATGGATTTCAAGATGAGTACATTAGCTTCGAACACACACACATATGCATGTGTACATACATGTGCATGCACACACATATGCAGACACACATGCACACTCAGATTTCCACTTCAATATACACACAGGTACACACACATAGCCATATGGATATACATGTACATCCACACACATTTACAGTCACACACAACACACAAACATACACACATGTGCACACTTACACATATATGCATGGGATACACACCCCAAAACTACACTATCTGCTACTACTGTGATCCTTCTAATAAGAGATATGTGGGGACGTTTGTCATTAATACCTTGCTAGAGTTGGGAAGAAGATAAAGGCACAATGGGATCTCCCAGGAACCTCCACGAAATATACCTGCCACCCCATGAATAGCTCCTGCCTTCCAGTCTGCCGTAAAACCTTTGAAAGAAGAAAGGCGGTGGCTGGGAAGCCCCGGCTGCCTGGCATCCCACAGGGAATCCACTGAAACCACTCCTGAGACTCTCCTCCAACAACACACAGGGAGAGCCACCCACTCCGCTCACTCTTCATCTTGTCACTTCCACGCCTGCCTTCTGTTGCCCACTGTCACACCCTGCCTAGCCAGGGAAAACTTCAGTGCTCTAAACCTAATCACGCCTCAGCGATGGCCTTGTCTGACTAGAAACACCAAAATCACCCCAAGGGCAGGCGGCAGGAGGGCGAGTGCCTACCTGGCGTGGTGTCTGCCGTGCCAGGAAGAGCAGCCACTGCTGGCAGGGAGCAGAGAGGCCGCGGGCTCAGCGTGGCCGTCAGAGAGCTTGGTGGCGTGCCACGAGTGAGGTCTCCAGCTCACGTCACTCCTCCTGGAAAAGAACGAACGAGGACGACTGAGGCAGGGGCTTCGCACACCGCATGCCTGTGTAACCGGCCAGGAAGTCAGTCCTGGCTGCTGCAGTGGGAGTCACAGCATGGCCCTCGGCCGGGCGCTGGCCAGTGTATTTGTGCGCTCACATTCTTTAGGTGCTTGTTAATGACCAATCTGCCCTCCTGCTGAGTGGGAATCACAGGCTGCAGAGCGTGCAGCAGCACTTACTCCTTAGAGTTTATGCCTGCATAAATATACAGTCATTGTTTATCAATTACAAATGTTAAGATAAATAAACTTTGCTTTAAATACCCCCCCACAGCATGAACAAAAGTAGATTCTCCCATCTTTTGAATATCAGCGCAACTTTACACAGGACCCTGAGGGAGCTTGGGAAGAAAGGATCAGACTGGAGAAAGGCCACTGAGGCCCCGAGTCGGCTGGGACACAGAGCCCAGGTGGCATGTCCCTACTGCCTAGTCACCTAAGTAAACCCTGCTGTCCTGCTGCTAAGACCAGCAGGGGTGCCAACAGCATGTGCTGTGAGGCTGCCCAACGGTTCCCATCGTCACAAACATGGCGGCCTACACCGACAGGCTGGGTCCGTTCGAGCAGGGCTTTCCAACTTGCTATGAGCCTTCCTGAGCTCCTGCCACTGTCCCCTTGGTTCTGGGTGTAGCCCCTTAGTGCTCTGGCCACTCCTACCCAGGTGGTAAGGTGTGTCCAGCTGGAAATCCCCCCAGACGCTCCCAGGCATGGAGCCATCCAAGCCGCCTTCCCCTGCAAAGCTCCGGAAGGAAGCCAGCTTTCCCTCCCACTTCGGCCCTCGCAGGCAGCAATGAGCTCACCGTGGTAGCTTATGGAGCAACCAAGAATGGAGAAAGAGCCCGACTGAGCAAGCATCTTTAGCTGCCTGACGAAGATCAGACATTTCCCCGGCAGGCCAAAACATTGAGGAGCAATAAAGAGGTACTTTCCAAAATAAAACCAAAGCTTTCTAACACAAAGGTTTTGATGACTCTACAACTGAGTCCAATTCACTACACCACAGAAGTAAGGAACTACAAAATCAAGACTACACCTCATCGAATTTCTCAAAATCCTCCCGAGGAAGCTTCTGGCCACGTGAAGTTCATGTTCAGCTGGCTTTTTGGTGCTATACTATCCACTGCTTCTTTCATCTCTCTTTACAGTTAGGTAATGAGAGAAATAACCTGGACTGACTGAAATGGAGGCAAACGGAAAGAAAACGAAGGCTGAGAAAAGAGAATGCCTGGCGCTCGCAGCAAGGCTGTCTGCACCCCGACGCCCAGATGTCTGATGTGGTAGCTGGGACTAGTTGGGCAGTAATGCTCGGCAGGCAGAATGAATGTGCTCCCAGAAAAACTCTCATGAGCAAGCATATATGAAAATATTCCCCATAAATTTTGCTTTTACAAAGGATATATGGTAGATTAAGAATGGCTGTGAAGTCTCTGGTACTTCTCCTATTCCAATGAAGGCGGCTTTACATTGCTCCCCTTGAACCTGGCCTGGCCCAAGTGACCTGCCTAAGTAACAGAATGGGAGGAAGGAACATTCTGGCACATTTGAGGACATTCACAGGGAGCCATTTTGTTTCTTCCTGGGCCCATGGAAGGAAGGAAGGAAGGAAGGAAGGCAGGCCGGCCGGCCTTCACCACTAAGCATCTCTGGCTGTTTAATCCCTAGCCCCCCACCGCCCCTTCACACACAACGGCCTCCACTGTGGAAGGACAGCGTGTCCCTGCTATGCCCGGCTTCAATTCCTGGTTTGGCCCTGGGCAGACAGGTGTCCATCCTAAGTGTGGCCACTCCCAAGTCACAGTGAAGGAGGCAAGTTACTTAAGCTCCCAGACCTCTGCTGTACCCACATGTTGTTATTTAAATCAATTAAAATGAAATAAAGTCACCCTGGCCACTTCACAAGTGCTCAGTAACCACTCGAGGCTGGTGGCTGCTACACCAGGTTGTGGCCTCCATCGCTGCTGCTGGGTCCCACTAGACAGCCTGCCACTACCTGCCAATGGGGCTTCCGAGCACAGTCCAGAAACTGTCTGCAACATCTCCCTCCCTGCCCTGCCTGCAAGGGCCAATAATCACTGGAGGGGCATAATCTGCAGCAAAACTTTGGTCTCAAAACAACCAGCTTGGACTCACGTCAAGGTGCCTCCTAAGGTGCCACAAAGCTGAACTACTTTGTGCTCTTACAATTTCATAAGCGGAAATTCCATTTCTGGGGTGTGACTTCCGACGCAGCAGATGATGAGGATAGAGTACCACGCAGAAACCGGCTTCTGAAACTTTTCAGGAAGCACCTCCTGCCCCAAGTACCCAGAGCTTCAAGACGAAGAATCGGTTTAAGGAAAATGAACCATCCCCGTGGACCGAATCCTCAGTCAAGTGTGAAGAGAAGCGGAATTGTAAGCTTAGGTACGATCAGAGGGAAGAGGGACATGGAGGTAACATCAACCCACACTGGCAAAGTTAGGGGTAAAAATGTTCACCCTTGCACGGACCTCCTAAGAAAACAAGGGTTTATTCCCTTGTGCTGTAAATGAACCAGACACTGACCACCAAAACCATCTAGCAGTAACAGAGCTAAATAATTCCATTCCCGGACCAAAACAGCACTCTGAAAACCTGAAGACTGCTTTCTAAAAAGTCTGCAATAACAATTAATGATAGGTAATATTTCAATGATAGATAATATTTTAAATGCACTCTTTTACTCTAGAATGTTTTCTATAGTGGTAATATTCAGTTTACATTTAATACTGACTTTAACAGCCAGTCATTTGGTCAAAATGTAGTGTCCCATGGATGGATGACTGGGTAAACAAAATGCAGTCCACACATACACTGGAATATTATTCAGTCAGAAAAAGGAAAGACATGATGAGACATGCTACAACACGGATATCATTATGCTAAGAGATATGGCGGCTGCAAAAGGCTATGTATTGTGTGATTTCACTTTCGACACGGCACGTAGAGGAACCAAATTCCCAGAGACAGAAAGTAGTACGGTAGATTCTAGAGGCTGAGAAAGGCAGAAAGGGAACGTGCTATTTAAATGGACTTATCAGAACTTTGGTTTTACCAGACAAAAAGAGTTCTGGAGAATGCACAATACGGATATACTTAGCTAAACTGAACTGCCCACTTTTGATGGGCATAATGATAAATTTCATACTATAGGTACTTTACCCCCACCAAAAAAAAAAAAAATCCAAAGGTCTCTTGGGGATCTCCAGTAGCCACGGGACATCTCTGTGTTGTGTCCTGCCATCAGGACGCGAATGCACACACAGACGTCGAACTGCAGGCCTGCAAAGGAGGAGGTCAAGACCAGGAAGTCATCAGTCAGAGCTGGGGTGTGGCCAAGCGTCCCCCCAGCAACCACCGCCATCACCATTTCCAGGCGGCGACACGAGCAGAGACACATCACAGGCCCTGACCGTGGAAGAGGGGACCCCGGAAACCCAGCGCTTGCTCAGACAGCACTGCTCTGCTGCCCGGCCTTGGGGACTGTGATGTCCGGGGCCACGCTCAGGGAGGCCACAGACCACACACAGATGCAGGTATCTAGTTTGGGAAAACACAGCGACGACCCTCATTAAGGCTATTTCTTTAAGCAAACAAAGGAAGACACTCAGCAAAAGGGGTTATATACTCCCACAGCTGCTGGGGATGGTGACATCCACCTGAAATGTATGTGCATTTTGTCACGTCCTCTGAATTTCCTGCTGGTTTCTGTTCATAAATAAGCAGAGACGGTGCCTGCAAACTAGTGGTTCCTTCACAACCCCGAGGACTTGGGGACAGGATGCTCTGGCGCCACCTAGTGCCCACCCACACTCACTGCCCCTTTGGCAGGCTTTCAGCGCTCACGCTGGATTTGACATCCTCTTCCCAAACCAGCTGTGCTGTTCGCTCCCCACATCGTATGCACTGGAGCCCCAGAAATATGGGCACTGTGAGCAGGACACAGGTGTGCCACAGTGTGCACCACAAGAGAGCAAACACACCGACAAGCTGCTGGTAGCCCTGAGCTTGTGTCCGACTCCCGAGCTGTGCACTGAGTGATGAAGACTTCACCTGCTCAGCAAAAAGTGAAAGGGCATGGCGCGGGGTGCCTGTAATCCCAGCACTCTGGGAGGCTGGGGAGGGAGCTCCTAAATATCAGCCCGGCCTGGGCAGCTTAGCAACTTGGCAAGACCCTGTCTCAAAATTGAACACCCTATGGCAAAAAAAAGAAAGAATATTTTCATGGCTTTCCTGAAACATTTTCCCACAAAACTGCACACCAAAATCGATTTAAACTTACTTCAATTTTGAAAAATAATTTTATAGCCTAGGTATCCTGTGGGTTTTGTTTTTGAAAGGAAAGGGTTCAGATCACAAATATAAAAATGCTACTATGTCCTTAAAATTGAGAATGTGTCTGGATATCAAGTATTATTTTGAATAATTATTGCAAGAACTGCTTCAATGAAATATTGATTACAAGAAGAAAATTCCTTTTCTTTCTTCAAAAAAAAAAAAACAAACAAAACTCCATTAGTGTTGGCTTATTTTCATAACATTTGAGGAGAAAGCTAAGATGCACCACCTCTCAAAATAAGCTTGTGTTTCATGCCCCCGGTTAGCAAGATGCTAAGTGGGGCTGGCGCCAGGCGGGCCGGCAGGGAGGGACAGAACCCGGGCCCAGCTCGTGGCCCTGCCACATAGAGCAAGACGGTTTGGGCAGAGGGTGCCAGGGCCCAAACTGAGGATCAGGAATCTCAGAGCTAGCAGAGTCTAGGGGGCCTGGCGTAAGGAGAGGAAGCACTGAAGGCCTCCGGGGGCCTCTGTGAAGTCCTGAGCGAGGAGGAGAGAGGAGAGAGCAGGACGCTTTGGGAATGACTGGAGTGGGAGGGGGAGCTAGCCGGGCCTGGCGACAACACACAGTCCTCTAATCCCTTAAGCACATAAAAG